TGTAATTGTACATATATATATATATATATATATATCGGTCTTTACTTTTAATGTGAAAGGAAATAAAAAAGATTGTGAATTGAATGTAGCTCAGAAAATTACGTTAAATAACACAGAAATATAGCATCCTTGAATTGGCCGTTGCTGATTCTTCTTGCAAGAGGACTTGCCCCCTTAACATGTTATGACAGGGCTTTCTCCTCCCGTTAATGGAAAATCTACTGTCGATATCACCGGGCAAGATAATGTAGGAGGAAGAGAGCAAGATATAAATTTAAGAACGATTGTTCTTAGGTTATTTAACTATGCTGTTTCAACTATTTTATTGGTGGGAAATCCAGAAGGAAAGAGACCACAGGGAGGACCAAGGCATAGGTGGGTGGGCAATTTTAAAATGGATCTTAGAGAGATAGGATGGGATGGTATGGATTGGATAGATCTGGCTCAGGATAGGGACCAGTGGAGGGCTCTTGTGAACACGGTAATGTACCTTCGGGTTCCATAAAATGCTGGGAAATTCTTGAGTAGCTGCAGAATTGGCGGCTCCTCCAGAAGGGCTCAGCTCCATGTAAGTAAGTAAGTTTCAACTATTTACGTAGCATCAGATGACACGGAAAGATGATTGTGAACGGTGAGAAAGTTAGGATGTTCAAATGTGTGGTCGTGGCCTGTACAAAGATTCTGTTCTATTGGTAGGTCCGAAGAAACCCACAAAAATCCCAGGATAGACGATAACTCAGCTGAATTTCGAAACGGGTACTGTTATAATACACGTACATCCTGGAGCTCTACATCAACACGGACATACCGAAGAAAGAGGAGCCAGGGGCTGAAGGACGAAAGACTCCCTTTACAGCATCTCTCCACTATAATGAAGCATATTATCGAGTTTTATTACTTTCGCCGTAACCCTTCTTGGCATATGAACCAAATGGAAAGTAAATTGCAAGTATGCTGACAACAGGTTTCCTTCCTCTGCCCTCAGAAATGGCTGATATTATATCAGGTACCTGTTCTGCAGCTTTGTTTCCCGAATTGCAGCCCTGGCTTATATCATTTGTCGTTCTGACGAATTCCATACACCTTATTCCTGCTTCGGAGAAGACAGGGTCGTGGTCGGGGATATCTATCGGAAAACAGGCGGGGTTCCGCGTGTCTTCAGGCAGTGCTGCTCGCAGGTCCGGTGTACAACACATGGTGGTGTGAGCCTCTGTTTGAACACACACAAGAAAGTAACTTCGTGATGTTGCCCTAGAGGAAGTACAGTAAATCTTAGCTTAAATTTGTCTGGTTTTTACGTTGATACTGTTTTCACACCGAGGCTCTACACAACGTCACATTAACTCCAGAATTTCTCACACAAACAAGTGCTTAATATTGATGAAAGAGCGTCGTGTTGTTAAAATTTGGTTAAATTAGGTCTAAATCCTACAATATATTAGCTTTCATACAATTTAAGGTAGTATCCAGTTTCAATGGTATTGTGTACATGCCTCGGGTATAACGTCTGAACTTACAAATCTGTAAACATGCGTTGAGAAATTGCTGAATGTAACTAGAGTGAATGGACATATGTTCAAAGTTAGGTAGGTCGTAGAAAGATTTTTACTTGTTTCTCTGTCTTTTATGTAACTGATAGAGTTCTTTATGTAAACCACTTCGTGTTGAACATAATTTGAATGATGTACAGGGTGTTTTTTATTATCCGACACTTCGAAATTTGTATTTCTTTGTTATTTGACGCATGTGTATGAAACTTTCATAGATTGTTCTCCACAATTGGGACATATTTTTTGTTGCTATTGGCAACTCTGAACTGACGGACAGGGTGGCGTCATATACGACGCATCAGAAAGCGTTTTTTACCAAAACCTCCTATATTTTTTTATGGTTTGTGTGTTTCTGTGGAAAGAAACTATTATCTTCTTTCTCTGGCTTCAGGAGCGTACTGAGGGTTCCCTATAGAACAACTTTGAAATAGGAACCCATGTCCGCAAACGTAAAAAAGCAGCGCTAGGGCGGCATTTAATATTATTTTGTTTAAACTTGGCGCCTCAATGTCGAAGAGCATGCACAGGCATATTACACCCTCCAAACTCTTAAGATTCACCTGCTAGAATAGATGTTGGAATTGGCGCCCTCCATTTTCAATGCACGTGTTACATCGACGAAAGAAACTTTGGCGCACCCTTTCAAATATTCCAGATGTCTCACGGATCACGTCACATGCAACAAGTATTCTGGCCAACAGCTCGAATTCATTATCCACAGGCGTGTCGTAGATCAGGCCTTTCACGTGGCCGCAGACGAAATAATCCAGAGGTGTCAAGTCTGGGGATCGGGGTGGCCAAGGCACTGGGCCTCCTCTGCCTATCCAACGACCATGAAAAGCAGCATCCAGGTGGTTTCGTGATACAATGCTGAAGTGCGCCGGCGCGCCGTCATGCTGTATCCACATTTGCCTCCGCACAATCAGTGGCACGTCTTCTAGCAAAGCCGGAAGGATACGTTCCAGGAACACCTTGTAAAAGGGCCCATTGAGTGGCGGTGGTAGGAGGAAAGGCCCAATCAAGTGATCGCCAATGATGCCCGCTAAGTTTAAAAGAAATGATTTTAAATGCCGCCCTAGCGCTGCTATTTTACGTTTGCGGACATGGGTTCCTATTTCAAAGTTTTTCTATAGGGAACTCTCAGCACGCTCCTGAAGTGTGGCACCAAACTCCTGGGGCATTCTGTATACATACTCTTACCCTCAGCTATAACTGGATCACGTTAAACGAAAGCACTTTTCCTTGTTAATTGGTTAATGAGGAATATAAAATTATTTTTAGATTTCGGGCACAAAATGTTTTATTAACTCCGTTATGACAGTGTTATCGCCTGTTTACGTATTTTTATGAATGTTAATTGTTCATGCACAATTCGCCTTCGAATTATAGAACTAAATCCGTTTTGGCGAATATAATTATGGCGACCAAGCGAAGAAATGTCACTCTCTAATCCCAGGGATCTGTCATCAGTGTACCTCAACAACATACGAACTACGTACTAACAACGATTTGGTTACGTTAATTTAAGGTTTAAAATTTGTTTTTAACGCCAGCGTAGCTGAGCTATTGAAACCACATTTCAATCGGTTTAGGCAGTAAATCTTCTGACTTGTTTTCGGTAGGTACCAAGTTCGAATCTCAGCAGAGATATGAGATTTTCATGATTTCTGTCCAGGCCAATGCCGAGATAGTACCCCGGGATGTGTCATTACCACTATCTGTCACATCCTTTCCAACTCGTCATCCTACCATTCGAGACACTACACAGTCTGAGCTACTGACAGCACCGCTAATTAAATCATGAAGAAATGAATAAACCCCACTAAGCGTCTGCGTGGTTTCTGGACATGAACTTCGTTACTCACTTCCCTGAGTGGTGCCGGCTGCGAGAGACATGTCGTGAGTGATGATCTGTCCGTACTGCATCAGGGCCAACGTCCATTTGGGGTCTGGAGCTTTAGCATCGGGGAATAAAATTGCGCTGATCTGCCGAGCACTCGTGAGGTTATGGCCCGTTACAGACACGGGCGGTGCCTGTAGACCTGTTGGCAAAATATAAAGATTCGGTATGAAATGTAACGAAATTTGAATGTCATACTCAGCTTTAATGAGTGTGAGTTAGGCCTAAAGAAGTATCCGGAAACGTTTATATATGACGGTGAAAATTTATAATGTGGTGGTTTGGGCTATGTCACCGTGTAATCTTGTAAATGGACACCAGTTTTCCAACGGAAATTATTGTCAACATGTACAGGATATAAACGTGTTTTTGTTCACTTCCACAAGGCTATTTCTGATTACGTAAAACTGGACTTCTCAGAAACACTTTTGTAACAACTGATTTCATAATCTTTGGGCAATTATGTTTTTTCTTTATTTTGAAAAAATAAATGTATATAGGAAAATGGCCTAGGCCCTCTGTAGCATTTGTATAATTATGTAACACAAAAATACACCGCGCTCCATCTTACGTAATGTGAACTAACTTTATTGTGCTTAAATGTGTTTGGTGTTGATACGATTTGTAATTGGGTTCAATACAGAGGTCTGGAATTGCAGCGTATATAGAGGAACTTCAATAGGTGTAAGTTCGTTGCATTTGAGGTTCCTACAGCAATGGAAATATGTCTTCTGGGATGTAGCGCCGTATAGCTTTGTGAAATTCAATGGACGTTTCGGATATAGCTTACATCTTCAGGGTGTATTTTTTTTTATTCCTAGTGGGGTGGGACTAAGTCCCTTGTACTGAGGCCACTTCTGGCCTATTGTACCAGCCCCAGATAATAGGTGAGGGTGATTGTGGAGCAATTGGTGGAATAAAGATTGGCAGGGAAACCGAAGTACTCGGAGAAAACCTGTCCCAGCGCTACTTTGTCCACCACAAATCCCATTTGACCAGACCCGGGATCGAACCAGGGCCGCCGCGATGGGAAGCCAGCGACTAACCGCTTGAGCTATGGCGCTGCCCTCTTCAGGGTCTAATAATAATCCAAAGAAGAGACTAACATGAAGCAAACAAAAATCGTTGAAATTGTATGGCTTACTTTTGAGTAGGCAATATATTCCTCCAAAACATCTGTTGACTTTCACAGGACTACACGATGTTATAACCTGTGAGAGAGAACTCTTGAAGTGTAAGTTGGTCAGTTTCCAAAAACCTCGTTTGCCACATCATTCTGGATAATAAATTTTGTTTGAGGTATATTTAATATATGCCTGTAAGACGTTTCGGCACCTTAAGCCGTTGTCATTATTATGTTGCATGGCCAATAGTTTACGCTACAAATTTTGAGAAGATCTCTTGGATACTGTGTGTCACAAGAGTCAACGGTACACAAACTTGAGTAACGACAAAGCTCTCTGTGGTATGGTAAATCTACCATTCATTTTGAATTATGAGTGAACTTTTCTGCTTGAAGGTTCTACTTGACACTTACCGTCAGAATATTTCGGCGGCAGCAGACGTCCATAAGGACTGTTGGCGACGCCAAGACGAGGGTTGCCGAGATTGTTGCAGGAACCGTCATATGTCCTGTATTTCCCTTGGGTACAGGGTGCGATAGGTGAATCACAGATACCGAACCCGGGACCTCTGAAAAGAGCGGAAGGGAACAAGAAACTCAGCTGCTTACTTGGTTGTCATTTTTTCCCCCTTGGCACTACAGCCCCAGTGGGCCTAGGCCTACCTCCATGAAATTCTCCTTTCACTTCGGTTTTTTTCTAGATCTTACACGTTCGGTAGGACTCCTTGGGCGGGTGATCAGCTCGTCGCAAGGCCTCTACCTGTACACAAACACAGAAAAACGCAAACACACAAACTAAACATCCATGCCCCGAGTGGGATTCAAACCTACGATCTCGGTTTCCAAGCGAGCGAAGACAGTACATGCCTTAGACCGCTCGGCTACCATGACCTGCACTTGGTTGTCATTACGACTGTTAAATTTATAGCAGTCACATGAAATTGGCCAGACTGAATTAAAGAAATGTGAATATTTGGACCTAAGACGGAGGAAGTAACAGAATGAAGAGGAAACCGTATAGTGAGGCCCATAGAGAGATGCTACGCACGTGTATGATCTAAGTGGCGGGGAATTTCATGACTATCAGAACCACTGTTATATTCTCAAACAGGATCCTCCTCCATGGAGTCAGGGTAGCCTACAGATTTCGTTAATTTATTGTTTCACATATCCTTCTGTTTTGGCACGCTTGCAACGAATTGGAAACAGAAAGTTCTGGGAAAAACTAATCTCCTGTTTCCTTCGATACGGCACGATCTCATATACAGCGGCTTCTCCAGCAATTCTTCGTTGCCGCAGGAACGTCTTTGCCGAGTTATTACTTAACAACGATAGGGGGATATGTAGACAGATCCACATATCTTCCTTTGATAAGACGCGGATCTCATAGATAATGTCGCACTGAATAATTGTTCTATTGCTGCGTGTATTCATTTGCCATGGGAAAGTCTTTACCGAGCCGTAGCCTACCACCGAACCTCCGATGGTGTCTCTACTTTGACTTAGTGGAGGGGCTTGCGTCGTCAAATGACCCTGAGAGCTATGTCGGCGGTAGCATAGCTACTGGTAGGGCCACCCATGCCGGACAGGTCGAAGGGGATGACCCAGACTAAAAGAGATACCCTGGTCCTCCAGCTTGGGGTTTGGGCGAGAGGCTGACGACCTCTCACCGTAAAAAAACATAAATGTCTCGAAACCTGTAATCAAGCCTCGGAAACCTCAACAGAATGGAAGACGACAATTGGCAAAGAATATGGACTACTCTCTAGGTACATGGAATGTGAAAACCCTCAATAAACCGGGTGCCATGAAATCGGTACTAGAACAGATAGATAAGTACAATATGAAAACCACAGCCATACAGGAAATTAGATGGCTGGGTAAAGGAATCATGGACTTAAAGAAACATACTGTATGTTACAGTGGTAAAGCAGAAGGCAATAAGGAATTTGGTCTAGTCTTTGTAATAGAACGAGAATTTAAAAGCGCACAATAATAGACTTTAAACCAATAAGTGAAAGAATTTGCACTTTGAGAATTAGAACGAAATTTTTCAATATGACGTTGATGAATGTGCACGCACCTACAGAAGAAAAAGAAGAGGAGGTCAAAGACTGTTTCTATCAATAAATGGAAGAGACGTGTGATTCAATACCAAGTAATGACACAAAGGTTATTTTAGGGGATCTTAACACCAAAATAGGTAAAGAGAAGGAATACAGAGGAGTAACTGGGACAGAAAGTTTACATGATACAACCAACCATAATGGAATAAAATTAATAGATTTTGCAGAAAGTAAGAACTTGATCATCAGCTCTACATACTTCCCGCACAAAAATATACACAAAAGAACATGGGCAGCACCGGATGGGCTAACCTTCAATCAAATAGATCATGTCCTCATAGAGAAGCGATTTGCGACGAATATCCTGGACGTAAGAACATTATGAGAGGCCAACTGTGATAGTGATCATTACTTAGTACAGGTTAAATATAGATGTAAAATAAGTTGTCAAAGATCTAAGCAGTATGAGAAATGTAAGAAATTAATTCAGGCATCGTATGGAAAGAGACTGGGTAAATTTTTAACACTTGGCTTTTTATCGGATAAAGAATCATCGTCACATGCAGCAAAGTTTATATGGAGTGGGAAAGACATAACATCTGTTCGCTAGAAGCAAATCTTCCACAAATTACAGTGAAGACTCACCCAAAGTAGCCGCTTCCGGAGAAGGACGGAAACTGGTGTGCAGGTCTTCTGCCGCCATGACCGCCAAAGAACCCGCTGAAATCCGCTCCATAATATGATTGGCTGCTGGGAAACCGCAGTTTCGAAGAGCCGAAATCTGTTGATTGGTGACATTAAGTTCACATTTATTTGGCCCATAATCGAGGTACATATAATATGATTAATTGTAGGCATGAAGTCTCTCACATGAGATTGAAGGGTAAAGCTGTCTCTCTTCTTAATCAAATGTTACGCCATGAAAACTTGTAGGGAATGCAGGCATATCTCCACGCATTTTTAACCTCCGCAATAGATAAAGTTTAATGATTAACTTTACGCTATAGCTGCCCTGAAGGAAATAACCACCGACATACCTTGGCTGGGTTGCTATGTGTGTCCTAGAGTCAGTCTGGTCACTGTAGCTAAGAAATACAGCCCCCAGTTTTTGACAGTATTAAAAAAGTTGGCAATTTCCTATCCATTTTCTTTATTTATTGACTCACAGTTTGCTTTCTTAAGGTTATTTAAATTTGGAATTATGTAATGGCTGACTATGCGTATAATATTTGCTTTTCACTGAATATTCGTGCTATTTTAAATCAAGCACAAGATTGAGATAAACCTGATTGGAACACTTCAGTAGGAGTCATGTTACTCATTACAAAAATAGACTTAATATGTCGCTAAGGGATTATTAACTTATTATTCTTAATTTTAAATAAGTTTTATGGTGGGTGTCAAACTTAAACATTTTCAAAATTATTAGGAACAGAAATGTCACTTACGTATTATTACTTTCACAACAGTTCCATACAGTATAGAACAATTTCGTTGAATTAATTTCAGATTTTATACAGATCTAAGCCTTGGCATGTCCCATGTGGAGACGGGTTAGAGTGCCTTCGCCCTAACCCTGCGAGTCTTAGAAGGTGATGAAAAGGAAACTCGGTGTTTGGGCGTATAACTGGGCCACCCTGTCTCTGGGGGGGGGGGCATAAATACAGACATCTGGTCCTTCGGGTTCGAGGTTAGGCGCAAGGCTGTTCACCTTGCTCTACAAAAAAATTATTATTGCGAAATAAAAAAAAGTGAAACCCGGATGATCTATATCTGGCAGAATCACCTAAGGAAGCTCAAGGCTCAAAGAGCGCCGATGATGATGATGTTGATGATGCGATTACATAAAAGATTGAAAATTAAATAAGATTGTTTTCAAAACTTAGCAACACCTCCCCTCTTTTTTTTTTCACAAATTGTGGAGAGCCTATTTTTACTCGACAAGAGACAATACTGTCTATATAAATTTGTTTTAAATTGGCCCAGAATGAAGGAAGAAAGAAAGAAAGAAAGAAACCACATCTGCTCTGTATAACAATTCGGATACCCACTGGAAGGCCGAGAAATCGTGGTTCCATTCCCAGCAGGAGAAGATTTTTTCCCCTTCTGTAGATGGGCACTGGAGCCTGCCCAGCCTCTTTACCAGTGGGTGCTACGGCTCTTTCCCCAGGGGTAAACAGGATGGGCCGTGAAACAGGCCTCTTATTTCCATCAAGTGTAGAAGTTAAGCAGATTCGGATTTTTAACCTCACTCTCCAATCCGTCGTCATTAAGCACAAGGACAATTTTGCCTTTTTAAGGTAACTGAATGTCCGCTTGTTCTTCCATGCTAGACTGCACTTTCGGAATGTTTCAGTTGAGAATGACTAACGGAAATATCAACCTTTCGAAAACTGCATATAGAAAATGTATTTAAAATTTCTACTGTCAACATGGTCTCAAAATATTAATATGTTTCTTCTATTAACATTTTAGCTGCCCACAATAAATTCAATTAAAATATTCATTGAATCTGACTGCAAAAAGAAATATATTCCTTATGCCCTACAGAAACAGTATTTGTGTCCATGCCACTACAAAATTTGTGCAAATATTCCCAGAGAGATTAGTAAGAGGTCTATATTAACAACACACACCATAAGCAAGGAATTCATACCTGAGGGCTGATGGAAACCGTAATCTTGTCCGGAAGAAACCGATGACAGGAGACACAGAAAGCCAATACCTGCCTTATTTACGAGTATAAGCCGCAACATTTTCTTCTGTGTGTGTTGATCTGTAAAGAAGCGAATGCGATTTTTCAGCTTTCATGCCAAGCTGCAACTTCGAACATACCTTCCACATTCTCGATTATGATGTTATTTGTACCGAAGCAGATTTGTGACTTTGAAAAATCTTCGTGTATAACGAAGATATCTTGTTTAATCTAAACAGTCAGTTAACCCGATGCGTATTGCCCAGTACTGGACTGATGAACAATAATATCCACCCAGATCTGTAAGCCGGCAAAAGACTACAGAAGCAAAAGCAAACACTGTGGTGACAACATTTGACATTTTTGGATGGCAGATTAATATTTGTGGATTTTATCTACACAGCGTAGCACGCGGTAGTGTGGTTGGTTGAAGGACTATGCTAGAAGCCGGAATGTCCCAGGCTTGAATCCCGACGAAGGCATTGGATTTTTCAGTTGGCCTAATCCTTCTAGCCGCACTATGACCCTGGGGTTGATTCAACCTCTAGCAGAATTGAGTACTATTAATCTTCCTGGGGGTACAGGGCGGCCGGTGCATAAGACTAAGAGCCTCACCGCCATCTGTGAGGTGACTGTCTAGAAAATGTGGGAGCCTCGACATCTCACAACCTTATGGACCTCTACGGCCTGTTACAGAGATAGCTTTACCCTTATCTATACAGTTGTATAATGCAGCCAGTGGTAGTAAGGTGCGGTAGGGTGGTTGACACGAAGAAAATATATGTGCCCCACCCATGAAAGTTAGAATTCGTGACAGATATTTTGGCGGAACGTGCATGAAAATTTATTTGCTCTGCATTAAAAAACTACTATTTTCTTTCGAACCTAGCGTAATTATTCAAAGTGCGTGTTTTCTTTGTTAACTTCGCTGGAAATAAAACTCTGCTTGCTGAATATATTCAGAGACGAAGTTTGAGGATTTGATGGGGAAGAAAAGTAAAACTCTGATCTTTTAACTTATGACTCCGTGTTGTTTCTTTGATATACATGGTCGCTGGTGATTTCATCTCTTAATTAATATCTCTTATTTTGGGTTATGACATCGTGTGATTATCAATACTTCTGAGAACCTACAATATTGTAGGATTATCTGCCTCCATCTTCAGAGTAGAGGCTTCTGCACTGAAAATGGAGTCGCCAAGGTTCTCAGAAATATTGGTAATCACACGATGTCATAACCCAAAATAAGAGATATTAATTAAGAGATGAAATCACCAGCGATCATGTTTGTGAATTCTGTTAATATCTGAAGAGTACTCTTCTTGGCTGTAGTGCCTTGTAGTTTGGAGAGAGTCCGATAGTTGGAGAAACATATCACTCCATCTTCAGGGTCGAAGAGTAAACTAAGCAGAAACCCTGCCCAGCTTGTGACCTGATTCTGCTAGTTCCTGTCTTGGCTTACTATTCTACCCTCAAGATGGAGGCAATATTTTCCTCCGAAACGACGGGGTATCTCCAAAATTCGTGGTGTTACAACTCAGAAAACCATACTCTTCATAGTCATGCGCCTTAGGAACTTCAAACACCAAATTTCCGACTTTCCTTTTCCTATGCTTATTTTATTTTTACTGAAGAAACTGAGACTTAATTATATGCATAATATAGGTCTATATCCGAGAATTATGTTCATTGTTGGTGTAGGGTCCTTGAAAGTATTCATTACATTGGCAGCAACTTTCACAGTTATGTAAATTACGTTTAGAAATTTATCAGTTCATTCCATGGTCCTGCAAATTCTTCCAGACTACATGGCATCACATCATTATGTTCATTGTTGGTGTAGGGTCCTTGAAAGTATTCATTACATTGGCAGCAACTTTCACAGTTATGTAAATTACGTTTAGAAATTTATCAGTTCATTCCATGGTCCTGCAAATTCTTCCAGACTACATGGCATAACATCTTAGAAGACGGTATTCTTCACGGTCACCGCATTGAGAACCTCAAACTTAACATCCTTTGGACATTGCAGAGTTTCTGTATTTTTTTTTTTTTCCGTGGAGCTGAATTTGTTACGGTCACGTCTAGTTCGGGACGCGGTTACTTTCACGTTCTCAAAGTCAGTCTCGTAATGGTACCTTACGGGGTTTTAAACGCCTGTAGCAAGGCTCGAAACTAAATAACGAATACTTAAGCGTCCACTTAAACATAAATACAGATGTAATTAACAAGTCTGCCAATCGAATACCGAAGACAATGAGCGAGAGAATACTTAGTAGAAATAAAGTCTGATGTCTTAAGAGAATTACTCTTATGTCTACTCCTTTGTAGAGAGAAACACTGTCTGTCTATGGCTCTACAGTCTTCTGTTGAACCTTGGCCGTTTTTCCTCTTCTTGATCCTGTACACAGTGGGAATCAGTCCGTCTCAAGGTCTGTACCTACACACAGACCTCCATGTCTTGAGTGGGATTCGACTCCACGATCTCAGCGTTCTGCCGATCGAAGACAGATCATGCCTTAGGCCGCGCGGCCAGTGTGATCGGCAGTGAAAAACACAGATAAAATTAATTATTATACTGCTACAGAGAATATTACGAGTAGTTCCAAATCAGCAGAGACCGTTAAAGAATTGGACAATATTTGAAGGGCAAAACAAATAACTTATTTACTTCAAAAGCTTCAGAGTAATTTTAAAGGGAACTGACATATGACATGTCATTTTTCATATAAGTTACGTATAAAAACATTCAAGTAATCACTGTAAATAATTGGTACACTCAGTGTAGGCATATAGGAGAGTAGAGATGAGGCCCGCAGTATTAGGTGGAGGTGAGTGGTCAGCTTCAGCCTCTAGCGGGCTCAAATTCTGTACCTACTGAATTGGAGGCTGTCATATCACAAATGATTTGGACACGTCGGCGAAGAAAAATATTGTTCCTCCCAGGAACTGAAACCCCCCCCACGTCGTCCAGTTCGAAACTATGGTGACTGATCTGTCAGAGTTCAGGTCAGTTATGTTTCAGTAAACAGTATTGAATCAAGAGATATGATATGCCCAGATTCTGAATCAATAAAGACAAGGCTACGGGATCTGTTTTTGTTTTTTGATGTATTTTTTCAAATGTTCTAACCATTTCTATATATAAGTCTTTATCATTGTAATGATAATTGTTATTTCCAGTTACACTGTAATATATCCATTATGTTTATGATCCATGAGGGTGCTACCGCCGGGAAAGTACTTCCACTTTCTCCAGCATTCTTATTTAAACCTTTATTACTGTGAGTACCCAAATTTAGGGTTAAATAGTTCGGCAGGACTGACGCTTAACCCTTCGACGACGGATATTTAAATGACAAGTGAATCAAATAGTACGAACTTCGGCTCTAGGGCATTTAAATTTTCTGCCAACATTATTAATATTGGCGTCATGTTCATTTGCGATTTGCAGGATAAAACAATTGCGAGTATATTGAAGATGTTCACATCCATGTATCTTCCGAAATTCTCAAATTGCTTACAATTTGGAGAATTTCATTTTTAAATGTTACTAAGTATTCATATATCAAACCTTAAAGTTAGGAAGTCTTCAGATTTCTGTGGCTTTTAAAATTATAAAAATACAATTACAATATATTTTTTAGCTTTAGGATAGCCAGTTGCTTGAACCTGGATATATTCTTACAAAACGTGCACTATTATTCGATTTCTCAATTGATTTACTACTTCCAGCCTCAATACGGCCTTGGGTTGATTCAGCCTCTAACAGAAATGAGTATCAGGAATCGTCCTGGGAATAAAAGGCCTCCGGTTCATAAGGCTAGCAATCTCACCGCCATTTGTGAACTAATTAGCTACAAACTGTGGGAGCAACGACGTCTCACAAACCTATGGGCCTCCACGGCCTGTTACAGGGATATTTTCACTTTCATTATTGGACAGTTGCTTTTACTTCATCACTATTCATGAGATAAATGAAAGATAGGCAACAATTTCGGCATGTCATGATCAGAGTTTCTGTAAAATATCTGATGATATTTAGCGTTTGTGCTTCGAGAAATTTTAAATAATTCAACAATATATAATTATAAATTTGTCATGTTAATTTTGTTAACCTAAGATATGCAGGGGAAGGATTTGGAAGGCGGTCCGAAAATTGCTTATGCAATCTGCTTATTGTCCTGTCTATTCAAAATATCGAGGTCGAATTGAATGCGTGTATGATAGGTTACGCACAGTTAATTCAGCAGTCAAAACAGCATGGAGGTCCTCTTCTAACGGTGCACTAGCCTGCGCACACAACCTAAAATCCAGTTGCGTAGCAGGACATTACTGAGACGAATTATAAAGAAAACAGGTAAATAAATCATAATACAATATAATATTGAAATCCGTTTAGTTTAAAAACAATAAACTTGTATTGTCACATAACAATCCTTTGTATCGCCGATTTGTACAGCAAATTACGATCATATCCGCTTGATTTCACGTCATTTGAATGGTGGACTTAAGAATCAAATCTGTGAGCGTCCAAGGACAATCTGAAGTAGTGAAAACAAATGAGAGTCGCCACGCCCACCACAGAAGTTAGCTGCGTTCCGTGTTTCAGGGTAGCGCAAGACGGAACCTGTGTTCACCGACCGGGAATTCGTACCAAATTCAAGCTACTAAGAATGTGAACTCAGTTCCTGATGACGAAAATTGACTAAATATCTGAAATTGCCGCATATCGAACGAATTATGAAAGTTCAATATCCTCTCTCTGTGCACTAGAACTTGCTTATCCTCAGGACTGGATTTCGATTTACGGGTGTTCCGGGACAATCCAAATTCGGAGGTGCCTGTCAATAACAACATATTTAGGTTGTGACTATTTTAATTTGTTGATTTTATAATTATGTCTAAAAGTACAAAGTAACTTTTCGTGATTTTAGAGAAACACCCAAATCTGTGGATTATCTTTCTGTTCTGCGGAGATCCCGGAGCCGCTGCCCCAAATGCTCCCCCTTAAATTCGGCCCTGGTTTTTCCAGTAACTATGTAGCTCAGCGCTCGCGATGTACGAAGCTGGTACCACGG